CAATTCATCCTCCACCTTTGCCTGAGTGGCCCAGAGCTGATGGAAGTCACTTTGCCACTTCTGCACAAATGTTCAGTTTTGATAGACTCCTGGAGTGCCCCTCTAGTGACTGCAGCAGTGGGAGAAGTGGCTATAAGTCCCATAAAGGCAGCAATTGCCATTTTTACAAGTCAGTAAGGTATTTTTCATGTTTCTGATAATGTTTGCTGTCTTCCTATCCCCTGTGCTACCCCATCAGTTATTCTCTCCTTCCCACGCCCCACTCACTGCCAAAGAGGACCCTATTTATGCTATCCTTTACCTGGGAAAGCATAAGCAAATAGCTCCTCCCTTAGGCTGTTAGTAACCTGGGACAGAATCAGTGGTAAGAGGGCTGGGTTGTGTCTTCTCCTCCTCCTTGTCCAGTTTTCTCCACACAGGGCTGTACTCTTTTTGGAGGAGTCCACCTGTGCTTTCTGACATCTTGAAAAAGGAAACATATTCCTGGCCCAAGCGGTTCGCGAACTCGGTTCCCAAACACCATTGTCATTCTTCCACCAGATCCTCTCAGCATCAGCTTTCTCATTAGGGGTAGCAAGTGCTTTCCCCTCCTAGTTATGTTAGAAGCCTGAAGAACAGAAAAATGAAATTAATAAGGCTAAATGATGTTTTTCATGTACAGAATTGTCCTTCATCTCCCCCTTCTGATTTAATAATTGTTCATTATTAGCAGTAATTTTAAAGTGCCATGTGCTCAATCAACGAGTGCCTCACTGTGAAGATTGTAAGAAATGCCTGTAATGTGATGAATATTCCAGTTTTGACAAAAATTTTGAAACCACTTGCTAGTGCAACCAGGGCCATTATCTGTTTGCAAATGGGTTGGAGCGCCCACCACAGACAACAGTACAGCAAATGGCTAATGATGTGGGGGGTTTTATTCTTCAGCCATGGCTAATGCCAACAAAAATCCTGAGAAAGTATCTGTAGTTACATGAAAGTATCTATCATAACAGCTCCTAGGCGTACAAAGGAAGAAGCTACTTCAGTACCAACTGCCATAATGCATTGGATTTATCCCTGTGTGGTTAACAGCACTGGGTCCCTCCTTAAGGCAATGCACACTCCCTGACCATTTGTCAGGATTGAGCCCCAACCAAGTGATATCTATTCTTTGGGATGACTGCATGTTTTGTAGATTTTGATGATCAGCACTCAGGAGAGCAAACGTGGGTGTCACCTTTGGAGCTGGTGTGTCAGAGTTTACATTTCCCATGGCAACCAGTGATGGACTGTGTACCCACACATGTTTGGTAAGAATGGGTGGGATCAAGTTTGAATTTTTAAGGTGAGGCATAACTTACCAATGTGGGAGTGTAGGTCCCTTTTAAGCTTTGCTGTTTCAATGAAAGAGCATGCCTTCACTACATAGGCAGAGCCACCATTGTATCAATAGGCTGCTTCACATATGTGCACAACAGAATAAGGTCAAATATTTCTGTTTTAAAAGGACTGAGAGAAGGGGGCGGTCTGTAAACTATGTAACGGCACCCTCAAGTGCTTGGGGGAGATTTGGTTAATGATTCATGAAGTCCTTTTGCAACTCCTGGAGCTTCCCCAGAGGGTAATGACAACCTAATTTCCCACAAAATTCAGCTAGCGTTATTGGAAAATCTGTAGAAAACTCAAAAAGAGTTTTAACCTAAGCTGGGGTATAAGGTAAAATTATGATGAATGGATCAGACACACTCAGTTGTCAGCAGCTATGTCAGCCTTTGGCAATCAGCTGAGCTATTTGTTCCCAATAAGGCCACATGACTTTAAGGCCCATGTTGCCTAAAAGTAGGCACTCTGGAGGCTTATCCTCTTGGGCTAGTGTAGCAGTGTGGGTAAAATATGTGAGTGCAATTGACAAGGTGAACACTTTTAGCTCGATCAACGCAAAAAAATGTTTTCCTGGCTGATGCGTTCTTCCACAAATTGTACTTCTCGGCAAGCCTCAGGTGTGAGCTCTCTAGGACTACTCAGCTGGGAGCCCCTTTTAATGTGTCAAACAAGTGGTGGCATGCTCCTGTGGGGATTTCTAGCAAAGGTCTTTCCCAATTTATATCTCTTAGTGGCTTTTGAACATCTTTTCACGTTCTTAGGTGGTCTTTTCTACTTTCAAGTTTCTGTGGTCTAATGGTGGTTCAGTCCAGCACTGTTCCTATGTATGTATAAGGGCTCCTTGGCAGAAAGACTAAGCTTTCGACTCTTGTGAGGTCTCATAAACCCACAGGAGGTACTAGGAGTCAGCACTGACTCAATGGCAGTGAGTTGGGTTTTGGATTTATCAAAAGTCACAAGAAGCAGACACATACAGAGAAACACATGGGAAGCTCAATCTACAAGCAGCGTACAAACTTAGCTGGGGCTGCAGACATCCAAAGAGAGAATTAATTTTTCCTCAAGCAGGCAGAGAGAGCCTAATCCTGACTAGCATTGAATTCAGACTCCGAGAAGATTCTCAAGGAGATGGATTGACACAGTAGGTACAACGATGGCCTCAAACATGACAACACTTGTGAGGAAAAGTGTGCTCTGTTCTGTTGTACATACTGTTGCAATCAGTTGAGGGCACCAACAAAGACAACAAGAAACCATAAGATAGCCCATTTCTGTTCTCTAAAACCACGTGCTTTAAGGTATTTTGCTATGGCACGTTAGTTAACAACGACAAACCTAGAATGAATACTCCAATGTAGCTTTCAAGTCTGTATGTTGTATATTTCTTCATTTCGTCCTCTTGCCCCTCCACTCTCATCCTCTCTCTCTGCCTTTAAGGCTGAGAACTTTGATCTAACACTTTCCATGTGGAATTGTCAACAGTCAGGGAACGACACTGCTGGGATTTCATCATGGTTTCCCAAATCCACACACTGGCCTCGCTCTGCTTTCTGTTCGGGTTGCAGCCATCTCTGACTGCAGGTAAGTCTTGACAGCACCCCATACAAACTTGTGAGAAGGGCAACAGCAAGTTTGTCCTTGAATTCCCTGCTCCCCACAAGCATTGCCTATGGCTCTGATCTGATCCTGTTTTTCCTTTCCAAGAAACACTTGCTAAGCACTAGGGGGAAATTGTTCTCTATGACACAGGACCATAGAATTGTTTTTCAGAGATCTCTTCAAATCTGGTGGTGCTTTTCTGGCCAATCTGGGGGAACTTGACACCAGGAAGTGGGATTTATGGTACAGAATCTGGGGCAAGTTCAGAGAGTGAGGCATGGTGACTGTGCTTGAAAATTTCATGCTGGGCTGTTCACAGGGTGGCAGGAGTCAGCTCCAGGCTGTGCTGGTGCCCTTGGTCTTGGTAGGACCATGTGAGGGGCAGCTGCATGGGCACACCTGCTCACATACCACTGCTAGGGGCCCTCACTTTGTCACTTAGTTTCTTTAGGCTTTGA